GAAGAGAAATAAGAAACAAGGCAGAAGATTGTGGAAAATATAAGATCCAGGAAGCTTTCTTCTTTTTTTTTAAGGAGTGAAGATATAGAGGAGAACGGGCTCTAACCAATGAAGCAGTTTTCTAAATAGGAGGCTGGGGTGGGATGAAATACATAACAGAATACACAACAGAATAGTCAGACTTAAGCAGCACATTTTTCATTTTAACAGAAGAGAAAATTGAGACAATACATGCCAAGGGAAGTCAATTTATGAGCAGAAAGTTAGTAGAAGTAGTGGTCCATAGAATTTAAATAAAACACTCAAAGTCTCCTAGTTCAGTCTCTCTCCCATTGTACCATCCCAGTGGCTGGTGTCATTTTTTTCTGTCAAACATACTGAATTTTAACCTACTGGCCTTGGAAAACTTTCCAAATTCATGGTCACCAACTACAAGATAATGAGCCAACAATGAACAGTGCAGGTGTGCTCATTTGCATCACTCCTCAGTGCCTTCCCTGTGTTTATTTGCATGCAGTTTAATATGCCCAATCATAATCCTGCACATCAGTATCATCTCAATTAAACCCCCAGACCATCCATTAGGCTGCTATAAAAAGTCAAAGAAATTATTATTAATGCAAACCTCATACACTCAAACTGTCACTTTCTTCTACACGATTTTCTGAGCCTTAGAGATCTGAACGAAGGTATTCAATTTACTAATTATATAATCTTGTATAAGGCACTTGAATTTTGAGTTTCAGTCTCCTCATCTGTACAGCTGAGACAATAATGCCTTTTTTATACAGGGCTATTTTTAGAATCAGATTAAATGATAGATAGAAAAACTATCAGTAGTATACTTCTGGTTACAATATACTCATTCCAAACTACTTCAATCAAAAGGGAAGAATCAAAATATAGTACTTCATCAGGTAATTCAAGGATGGGAAGACTGCAAGATTTCAGACAGAAAAAATATCCAGGGTTGAATACACATCAGCAGATATTTCTTCCTAACACTGGCCTATGGTCTCTTTATATGTCTTCGTTGTATTACTCTTTAATGCACAATTCCCACATGGTAGGAACAGAAAAAAAAAGTTCCATAGCTGTGTCTTTCTTCCCTTCAGCAATTAGAGAAAAAGAAACCTGCTCTACTTTTTTTCAACGCCAAATACATTACTGAGGAAGGGATAACATATTTCAGATCTGGGGCCCCCTGTAATCAAGGTTCGTCTGATTAAAAATGGCTACTTCCTTCTTGACAACCATGTAGATGGGGACGGGGTAAAGGTGACATGGGAAATGAGAGCTATTTTTC